AAAGAAATAACAGATTTGATCAGCATCAAGGATACATTATAAGTATAAATAATAGAGGTGGTGAGAACTTAAATAAGAATATCAAGTCTCAAATCTAATGACATAGATTTCAAAAGTATGATCACTTTCAAAAAGATTGTAAATTTTATATTTAATGTCTTCCCTACAAAAAGCTTGGTTATGTTGGTTCGACTGCTGATTAAAAAACTCAGATAATAGGAAAATGTACATAAAATTTATAAAGATTGATAAATATGCTTCTAAGACTTCTTTTTAGCAACCCGTAATATAGAAATGAAAGAAGAAACATCTTTATTGATGTATTGTAGTATGAATAAGAAAAATTAACAAAATTTATGGTACTTAGATGTTTTTAAGGCTATAAATCTAGAACATATAGCCAAGGAAGACAAATTGAAAAATAAAAAGGAAAGATTTCAAATGAAATAGGAGATCTAAGAAAGGAAGAACATGTTGTTGAGGATAGAGAAGTTGTTTATATGTTGCTAAAAGATGAGTGTCATAACCTTATACTAGATAATAAAACAATACAAGATTAACATAAATAAGATGTTGAGTCATAACCATGAATGTCAATATATCATAAATAAAATAAAGTAAAAAGATTCTGAATAGTTTAATGGGATTCAAAATGAACATGTGTATTTATTATTAGACATTGAGATGCAAAAAAGAGAACTGGAGAGCTATGTTAATAAAATAGCATGAAAAGATAGAAAGTTATTAGAAGGATAAATAAAAAGCTTTTAAGCTAGAAAACAATAGCAAACTTCAATGTATTGCTTCTCTTAGAGAAATATAGTTGGAAAAAGTTACTTTAGAAAGGGAAAAGCCTACGGGGAATATACTATAATTAGTAAATGATTGAATCTCACTTATAACATCACTAAAAAATGATTAATAATCACAATGTATTAGAAAAAAAAACTAGCTTAAAAGAGTGATTACGAGGTAACTGAAATCGAACAATTTAATGATCTATTTACTTATTTTGCTCTATTCTTATATTGCAATGCTATAACTTTCAAAAATGCCATAAAAGAAATAAATTGGCAAAAGATTATAATGATAAAATTGATACAATTTAAAAAAAACAACATTTGAAAATTGATATAGCTTTCAAAATGATAAAAGACTATTGAATGGATGTTCAAGACAAGATTAAAAGAAATTAAAGTTTTTTTATTGTTAAACTAAGTATTTAAGAACACCAATTCAAGAAAATGATTATTAGATATTGGTTAAAATTCAGGTCTAAAAAAGAATTATTGTCTAAAAAAGATTTGTGTTTATTAATTAATTAGAATCCTTGTTGAATTAATTAGTTGTAATTCTTATTAGAGTATGTTGATAAGAGCTTGCAATATTTATAAAAATATAAAGATAAATACTTGTAAAATGGTAAGAAAGTGTTTAAAAGAATGTTGAATATCAATGAATAAAAGCCTCTCTGTGTGTTTTATAACATGAAAAGGTCCAATAGCCAAGGGATCTTTAGTTACACAACAACGATAACAGCTTTTTTTATTTTTATATCCCAACTTTTTATTTTTTTAATGATCCAGAGTTGAGTGTTTGCTAAATATTATTATGATAATTTTAAAGTGTAATTTTTTTTATAAATTAAAGTTTTTTAATTGAAATTTTATAACAACTTTCTGAATAAAACTCGTACAAAATTATATTATACACTAGTAAACCAAATATTTTAAAATATATAATTAGATTAAAACATTTTATCACACCAGCCATAGAAACAAACAAACATAGCACAAGAATTCTATTAGAAATCGCAAGCATTAGTGACCAGACCATTCCTTGTTGCCTCCTCAGCCGCTGTCTGCTGCGTCGATGTAAATGCGATGAATTTTCTATGTGCCAAAACTGGACGAGATAAGGAGGTATCTCAGATTCTCAATCCCCAAAATCCTTGATACGTGTGAGGTATGTCCTGTTGTTCCTCTCATGCTTAACCTCGACGATACGTAATTCCAGCAATTATTATAGTTTTCTTCTCCTCGGAGTGTGTTGGAGAGGACAAAGGGATTGACTCTTACGAGGGTCCGACTTCTTTTCAAGTTTCCACTTTGATGAAATCAAGATCCAGCTGTCCACTTGAAGCCTTGCCGCGCGCCGAGGAAGATCCCGCGTGTGTTATTAGAGTTTTTTTATAACCTTAAATATTTTAATCTCTTAATATAAAAATTAAATTTTAAAAATTAAAATAAATATAATTTTAAAATATTTTAAAAAGCTAATACTATTATTATTTCAAACACCCTCTAAATACTCCACACAATATTTAGCGAGAGATTAAAAATTTAATTGAATATAATTTTTATTAAGAGATATTTAGCAAGAGATTAAAAATCAAAGTGCTCAAAGAGCCTAATGGAAGTTGAATTTAAGAACGAATTTATATATGAGATTTGTAAACCCTAATGCCAAAAATTTCTTGGTACAAAATCAAATAAAATAAGATAAAAGGAGAGAGAAGAGAAGAAAGAAAGGGTAAAAAATCTTCTGTTTTTTTACCTTTAAAATCCTTGACCCTATGCTCTCAGCATAAAACGTGGAAAGAAAGAAAAGGTAAAAATTCTTCTGTTTTTTTACATTTAAAATCTTTGACCCTTTGCTCTCAGCATAAAACGTGGAAAGAAAGAAAAGAAGAAAGGACAGAAATGCGAAGTGGTTGAAATTTTGCATATGCGAAATGAGGGACAATCTTCCCATGTGGGTCCCCCGCCATACTGGTCCTCTCCAATAATGGAGAAAAAACCTCTCGCAAATTTAAATGTTTTCCGATTTTCTAATTTTACTCGTAATTCTTTACCCCTTGAGTATGCACTTTGCTATCAAAAACACTTTTTTTTTTCGTTTTCCTCTTTTAATCCATCAGGAGATAGATTATAACTTAGTTTTTTAGCTTATCATGGCTAATTAATTAGTGTATTTAGTATCATAAATAATTAAATAATCTCTGGTTTGGATCGACCCACCTGAATTTAGTATTTTTAGAGCTTATTATAAACACAATTAAAATACTAAGAGCACAATTAAAATACTAAGAGTTGATTTCACTCGAGAACAAACTAGCTTGATATATTGTTTGAATTATTTGTCATCAATTTTGATTGGTGGCTTAGTTAGTCAGAGCATGTGTTGCCTTGTGGAGGGCACATTATTTTCTTTGCAAAAAAAGACAACCTTAATGTATTATTGGAATCATGTGTCATCAACTTTGTTAGGTGATTTAGCTGGTCACGTGTGTGGGCATCGTGGAGGTCACAAGCTCGGTGATTAATTAAATATTAAACGCAGTGAGGTTTTTTTTACCCTTATATATATAGATATATTGTAATTTAATATGAGGTTTTTATTGTTGATAATAAATTAATTTTTATATTTTATATTATACAATAAATTTAAAAAAAATTAATTTAATCAAGTGAAATCCATAATCTAAATTGTAAGGTTAATAAGCTAACTAGATGTTAATTAAAAAATTAAGTAAAAATATGTTAAATTTAAATTATTATACTGAGTTTAATAATATATAATTTAAATGATTTTTTTAAACTTTAAAAAATTATATGCAAATCAAAAAAAGTATGGGTTAATAATCCAGTCATAACTAATTAATTAATGTATTTAGTATCATAAATAATTTAAATAATTCTTTGATTTGGATTGACCATCCTAAATTTAGTTTTTTTAAAACACCATCTTTCATTGTCAAGCCTTTTCATTTTCCTGGTTCTCTTTTCTTATCCTATTTTTCAGGGCGTAAATCAAATTGAAAAAGCTCATGAAATTGATAGAAAGACTAAATTAGTTATGTTAAATTACAAGGACTGGGTTATAATTTGATCAAAATTAAACATCCTATCGTTTTTTAGGAAGTAAAATATTGACTAGTTTTATCAAAATTTTCATTGATAAATAAGTTCATATTTTATTTTTATTTTTCAAAGAATGTTATCTTATGTTCTTCTTAAAATGTCCTCTTTAATATGGAATTGTTCATGTACCTTTAATTATTATTGTTTAAGAAAAATTATAAATCCAAACCTTTATTTTTTTCTGTCTTTTTATTAGATTCTTCAACTTTGTATTATATATATTTTTTAGTTTATCACTCTTTCATTTACTTTTAAAAAAATTCCACTGTAGATTTTTTTTTTTGGTTGTGATGAGCTATATAAATTCTTATTCTAAATGAAAAAATAAAAATAAAAGTAGTTTAAGATTGGTGAACATCTTGTTCGCCTTTTCAAGTAGAGGTTAATTCTTTTATTAGAGAATCATGTGTTGACCCGGTTTTTTCCTTTTTAATTGCTGAGTTGAAGAATTTATTAGAAAGAAAAATATTATTTTTTCATAAAATATACATCAAGAGTTGAAAAATATATAATAAAATCAGTTAATATACAATGAATGGAAATAAAATATTGTTTTAAAAAATAATTCTTATGAATGGAAATAAAATATTATTTTAAAAAATAATTCTTGCTGAGTTGAAAAATAAATATAGTTTTTTGTTTTTTATTTGAATCTTACTCCAATAAAAATGACCTTTCATTCTCATTTCCATTGTTTATTCACATTTTTATTTTATTTCTTCAAACAAAACCCCTATAAAAAATAGAAATAAGACTTCCATTTCCATTCCTGCCGTTATATTCCTTGCTACCAAACTCATTAATAAAAGCTTAGAATTTACTCTATTTTTTTTTAAAAATAAACTCAACAATACCTATGGATAGAATTTAGCAAGAAATTAATGAACACATGAAAATAATTCATTGACTAGGAAAACATAAGAATCATTAAATGGTTTCTATAAAAACAAGTAAAGTCCTTTTCTTTGTGCTAACGGGCCTCAACCCCCCATCCAGCCCAATTAAATAACCCAAGACCATAACCCAAACATCCAAGCCCAAGTGTGTCTTCAATCCAATTCCCCCTCCTAATACACTCTTCACTTTTCCCGCCCTTTTCACACACCCAATTTTTTTTTTTTAAAAAAAAAAACACTAAAAACTTTACCACCACAAATCCCTAATTTCACGGGAAATGGCGACGTGACAAATCTTCTCCGACGCCGGGAAAAAATATCCGATGGGAAATAACCGGCCAAATCATCCATACCAAACCTGAGCCTAAACCAAACGGAGCCCTAATTCCACTCCAAGCACCAAAACTGACCTCCCTTCCATGGCCGATCTCTTACACCAAGGTTCTTCAGTATGGGTATGTATAGCTGTATAAATACGCGTGTAATACATGTATTCACGTATGGATCGTGTTTTTGTCTGAGTGAAGGACGTCCGCATTACGGAAATACACCGACTTTCGGCACAGGATCAGGGAAATCAGTTGCGTTAAAGCAATCTTCGATTGCGAAAGCGTTAGCTATCCTCGGCGGTGGCGAAGACGAAGACGACGGTGGTGCGTTTTCATCTCTATGATTTTTTTTTTCATTTTAGGTTTTAGTTTATTTACAAACTCTAAGGAATTTAAATTGCTCGGTGATTTTTTCTCATTGAAGTATTTGTTTATTTTATTAGATTTAGCGTTTTAAATTTATTTATAATGCTTAAGCCATATGTTAAGCACCTAAAATTGACAGTGAAATAATTTGTTAGCGTTCTGTTGGTTGTCTATTGTACTGTTGTGGAAATGGTTTTGTTTAGTTTTGTTTGTTTGGAAGGTGAAGCATGTGGGGGAGATAACGAATTTGGTTTTCTGTAGCTTTTGGAGAAAGGGAATGAAGATGATGGAAATGCACCGATTTTCCATACAGGATCAGGGAAATCGGTTCTATCGAGAAAATCTTTGATTGCGAAAGCGATTTCTGTTCAGCAATTTGTGTGGAAACCATCCACCGTTGAGCAATTTGTGTGGCAGGATTTATCACATCCAGGGATGAAAGTCGGCATGAGAAATAATGGGGTTATTGGTGATGATCTGCTAGTTACTAGGTCCCTTTTAGTTTCCAAGTCTGGTATATTAAAAAGCGAATGGGTAAAGGAGGTCAATACAGACTTGCCCCAACCTGAAGCACAATATTCTGCTCCCAAACCACCACCATTTAAATTCCACACTGCTGGTGGAAGGTCCCTTTCCGTTTCCAGTGAGGCATTGAAACGTGCAAGGAGTCTTCTTGGTGACCCAGACATGGGAGCTTTCTTAAACGAGGGGGATGCATTTGATATGGGTCCCTCAGTTTTTGAAGATATTATATTTGATGAGGCTTCGTCAAACAAGGAAAATTCCTTTTTACTCTGCATTTACCCATCCAGAAGCTTCAAAGAGTAAACATATCTCAAAAACTTTCACTTCACCTCTTAAATTATCTGCGAACCATGTTTAGCCATCCATTAATTAAAAAAAAAAGAGTCATTTCAGGGGGTAACTTGTTGGAGAAATTTGATGCTGTTCACAATGACGGCACCTGCGAGTTTAATAACAAAGCAACTTGTATACAGAATTGCGTAAGGAATCGACTGTGTTCATTAGATACAACAATGCTAATTCTCTAGAAAGTGGTACTGGTTCAAGGATGAATCCACTTCAAAGGCTACTGCGTGTGCTATTGGTTGATATTTCAAATAAAAATGGCGCAGCGTACCCAAATAACAGCCCAGTGATCTTCTCGAGGGACAGGCCTATGCTATAGCGGACTGTTACTTGTAAACTCTGATTCGAATACACTTTACTTACAAGCTACAACCAAATGGCAACTTTTGTCCTGGCAATGCAACAGTTTCAGTAAGCCTCTATTTGCTTTTCTCCTGTCTTAACAATTGAATCTAACTAAAGGCCGTCCTTTTAAGCCATTTTCCAGCACTCGAGTATCAGTATTATTGTCAAATTTGGGTGAAGTTCCTCGTTGTTGGTAAATTACACATATCTATCTTTTCTGGATCCCACCTCTGCCTTGGTAAACAAATAAACCCTGTCCACTTGCAGCCATGCTGATCAAAATGACAAATTTCATGACTTGACCCGTTTGGTTCCCCATTGTGTTTTGATTACGCAATGAATTTGACATCGCTGCACTTGTGTTGCCCATGGGAGAGGTTTATACAGCTCCTCTGCAAAAGAAACAGTGTGTCTGTGATTGATACTGCTATTTCTACATTGGATTCGGAGGTAACGTCAAAGTCCTGACTTGCCATCAGCTTCTATTGAGATAGCAGATTTGCATAGAAGAATTCTGGAGAATTAAGAAGAGATATGAAGAAGGTAGAGAGAGCAGCTGACAGTTGAAGGAAGAAGATGAATATATTCACTGTTTTTCAATGTATTTATTTACATTGTTTGGAGATGTATTTATAACAGAAGCTGCAGATGTAAACCAGCTTTTTTCTTTAATATTAACAGCTTTTTTAATTGTCTAATAGTATTAACAACTTTAACACTATAAGAGTCTTTTAACCACTTCATCCTTTAGTCGCTTGACATGTGACGCGATTAGAGTCATTAATATCTTTATATTCCCTCGCAATCGTATGCATGGAGGAGCCAAGCATAAAATTAGAGCAATGGTGACGAAACAGTGGAGAAGAAAGACCTTCAGTGAGGATATCAATAAACTGTTCTGCAGAAGAAACATGGTGAACAAGCAAGTCATTTTTGATAACATGTTCTTTAACAAAATGATAATCAATTTGAAGATGCTTCATTTTGAAATGAAATACTGGATTGAAAGCGAGAGAAATAGCAGAGATATTATCACAATGAATTAAAAGAGAAATAAACAAGGGAATATGCATATCATGGAACAGTTGACAAATTCATGTGAGCTTTGCAACAACAATAGCAAGAGCTCTATATTTAGCCTCAATAGAAGATTGTGAAACAGTATGGAAGCCTAGGAAATAGGATTTGATCCTAAATAAACAACAAAACCAAAAACAAAATGATGAATATAAGGAACATCAGCCTAGTCAGCATCATTGTAAGCTTGCAGATTAAGAGTGCTAGGCTGAAAGTGAATTCTATAGTCAAGAGTACTCTTGAGATATCTCAAGGTTTGTTTCACTGCAATAACATGAGATTCTATAGGATGATGCATAAATTGCAAGCTTGATTGACAGAGAAGGCAATGTTAGGACGTGTGAAGTTTAGATACTGTAGAGCTCCAACAATACTCCTATATTGTTATGGACGAGAATAAAGCTTACCATCATTCTTGAGCAGGTGATGATAGGGAAGACAATGAGTGACATATGATTTTGAATTTTGTAAATTAACCTGATAAAGCAATTCTTTGATATATTTAGATTGAGATACAAACAAGCTAGAGGAATAATAAGAAACCTGCAGCCCAAAAAAATATGTTAACTGACCTAAATCTTTTATATCAAATTCCTGAGTTAAGGCATCAATGATTGATGTAAGGAGAGATGAATGATTATACGTGAGAAGAATATCGCTTTCATAAAGAAGTAAAATCATAGTGCCATGACAGGAGTGCTGAACAACTAAAAAAGAATCAACAAGGGAAGCCTGAAATCCTAAGTTAGGTATGAAACTAGTAAACCTGTCATTCTAGGCATGAAGAGCTTGTTTTAACCTATACGAGGACTTGCATAGTCTGCAAACAAAGTCAGGATAAAGCTTGCTTTTAAAACCCTGTGGTCAAGTTATATAAACTTCCTCTTAAAGAATACCATGTAGAAATGCATTTTAACATCAAGTTATCTTAAAGGCCTATGAAACTAAGCAGCAAAACTCAATACCAACCGAACAATGGTGGGTTTCACTACAAGATTGAATGTTCCATTGTAATCAATTCCCTCTTCTTGACTGAAGCCCTTGGCAATGAGGCGTGCCTTATATCTAGTAATAGAACCATCTGTATTTTTCTTGATTCTATAAATCCATTTACAACTTATAAGATTCTTGGCATGTGGTAGGGGAACCAAGTCCCAAGTGCTCTGTACATGAAGAGCATCAATTTCCTCTTGCATGGTAGACTGTCATTCAACAATTTTAGATGCAGTTTTGAATGAACTTAGTTTAATTAGAGAAAAATCAATAGATTAAACAGTAGTAGAATAAGCCTTTCTTTTAGAGATACTATTCTTAAACCTAGTTATCATTAGGTGAAGATTCAAAGGTGACAGAGGGAAGACTACACAAAGATTCTCAAGATAAAAATCAGATCCTCAGGGAGAGAAAACTATGTAGCAGAATCCAAACCTGATAAAGTTTGAGAAATGATGGGGGAATGCAATGTATCTAAAGAGACAACAGTGCTCATATGGATAAGGAGGTAGAGTATGCAGGTAAGACAACATTGTGCAGAGAAATAAAAGGTAAAGTAAGAGGTGAAAAATGAGAAGGAGAAGAAGAAATTATAGGCACAGAAGTGTATGGAAACACAAATTCATCAAAGATGACATGACGAGTCACAAAGAACTTATTAGTAAGGAGAGAAAAACATATATATCCCTTATATCGACATGCATATCCTAAAAAAATATAGGTGGAAGTTTTAGGCTGAAGTTTGTGAGTGTTGTAAGGTTTAAGTATAGGAAAACATGCACAACCAAAGATTTTTAAATGAGTGAGGACTGGTATAAAACCATATAGTAAAAGATAATGAGATTTTAGCTGAAAAATTATACAAGGTATCTAATTAATCAAATATATGAAAGTAGCACAAGTATGAAACCAAAATTTAGAAGGGAGATTGACAGTTTGTAACAAAGTGATTGCTATTTCTAGAATATATCCATGCTTCCTCTTAGTGAGAGCATTTTTTTCAGAAATGTATGGACAAGACATGTGATGAATAATGCCTTTAGTATCAAGATACTACTTGAAGGAATGATTAAGGTACTCACCATCACCACCACTTTGAAAAATTCATGGGTTGGCAGAAAACTGAATGACCAAGAAAGTATGAAACGAGACAAATATGGAATAAACCTCTTTTTTATTTTTTATTGGAAAAATCTAAGTGAATTGAATATATTCATCTATGAAACTAATATAGTATAGAAAACCATCAACAAAAATAGTAGGAGAAGGACCCTACATATTAATATGAATGACTTTTAAAGGTGTTGCAGATTTAATTGTTGGACAAGGGAAAAGAAGTTTTGTAAATTTGTCTTCGAAACAAGCAGTGCCGACTGATTTAGAATGGTCTGTAGTAAAAGTAATCTAAGATTGATGTAAAAGAATAAAAGTGATTTTGTTAGAAGGATGGACAAAATATTTGTACCTGAGACTTGTTTTTACTGAGTGACCAAGATAGCAAAATTGATTTTTTAAAGAGGAGAATGACTGTGATAGTTGAGAGTGTGGAATGGATAAAGAGATAAGATATAAAGCATCTCTATACAGTATCTGGAGAAGAACTCTCTCTGTAAGCTTGTCCTAAATGCAAAAGCCAAAAGCATTACAAATAAATGTGCATTTGTTATATTTATATAACTTTTGAATTGATAACAAATGTTGTGACAGCTTAGGCATATACATAACTTGTGTTAATTTGAATGAACACTGTGGAACATCTAAAATAGAAGAACCTACATTAGAAATGCTCAAACCTAAATTATCTATATTGACAATAGTATCTGATCCTAAAAAAGACTAGCTAGGTTGAGTTGAGCTAAGTCAAAAGTCATATAAGTTGTTGCTCCAATATCAGCAACCCAAAATTGCTTACCAGATGTAAAAGAAGGAAAATTTGCATGTATTGCACTGAGATTATTAGAAGGTGGTCTGCCTTGATAAGAGAAATTGCCTCTGTGATAACACTGGATAGTAGAATGGCTAAATTTCTAACAAATCTGACATTTAACTGAAGAGGTAGAAGAAGACAATTGATTATATCCTTGAGAGCAATTAGTAACTACAGATTTGACAGATGAGAATGTCAATGCTAGGACCAAGAATACCAAAACTAGAAGAATGAACTTGATAAGGGTGTGGACCAGGTTGATAATGACCACGACTTCTTTCATGACGTTTAAAATAAGAACCTCTATTGTTGGAGTGGCCGCCGTTGGTGAACATGGCATTATGACCATTGAAACCACCTATAGAACCATGAAAAACTCTATGATGACCATTAGAACCCCCATTAAAACCAGATGAAAGGTGAGAAGATAGGAAGGATTTCGAGCTTGAAGAGTATCCCTAAGGTTAAAGATTAGAATGAGAAGTAGAAGATCCTTCATCAAGAATAAAAGCCTTGCCTTGAAATGTCTGATTTTGAGCCAACATTATAGAAACAAAAGGAAATGCAGACTGAGTGTGCTCAAGAGTATCTTCTTCAACAAGTAACTAATATCAAAAATCTTTAAAGACAAATATTATCTCTGCCTCTAATCATATACCTCAATGTGTTGTAGTTAAAAGGCAGGCCATTGAGAGCCAAGATCACAATATAATCATCCTTAAAAGAAACTCATGCTACATAAGATGATCTCTTGCATCTTTAATATTTTGTAAATATTGAGAAATTGATTATGATCCCTTCTTAATATTCTGAAGCTCACTTTTCATTTGAAAAATTATTGCTTTATTAACTGTAGAGAATCGATCCTTCAGCTGAATCCATATATTATGGGCATTAAAACATCCAATAACATAGGAAATTACAGTAGGAGAAAGAGTGGCAATAAGCAATTGCATTAATGCTCGATCATGCATTTTCCACACCTAATAATCATCAGTTTCAGTTCCTTCAAAATCAGAATCTGCATCAAATTAGTTAGGACACTTCCTTGAGCTATCAACGAAACTTAAAATACCATGGCTTTCAAGAAGGATTTGCATTTGAAAGTGCCATGTGAGATAATTTGTATCATCAAGCTTAATTGTCACAACAGTAGAAACTGTAAAAAGTAAGGAAGTTATAAGAAATCAAACAGTCTAAAGCTGATAAGAAGTCATCATTTTTGTTTTTAGAATGCAGAAATAAAAAAATAATTAGAGAGAATTGTTCATTGATGAGAGAAGAAACAGAGGTAGAATAACAAGGTGTGCGAAAGCAAAAGATTAAAAATTTTGCTCTAATACCATATTGAGATAGCAGATTTGTATAGAAGAATTCTGGAGAATTAAAAAGAGATATGAAGAAAGCAGAGAGAGTAGCTGACAGTTGAAGGAAAAAGATGAATATATTCACTGTTTTTCATTGTATTTATTTACATTGTTTGAAGATGTATTTATAACAGAAGCTGTAAACATAAACCAACTTCTTTCTTCAATATTAACATCTTTTCTAACTGTCTAACAGTATTAATAACTTTAATTGTCTAACAGTATTTTAACCACTTCATCATTTAATTGCTTGACATATGGCATGATGAGAATCATTAATATATTTACATTGTTCACCATACATGGATAACGATTCATTTACACCTACCAACTATAATCTTGTTAGATCCTTGAGTTTGTTAGGTTATTTTATTATCAACCCCAGAATGCATTAGTTTATAATCTAATACGAGTTGATTCATGGTGAAAATTTTCAAATGGAAATTAGAAGAATGGATAAGTTTCTTTATTATTATTTAAAAGTATATTTTTATCAAGGTTTTATATCATCATTTTGCATTTCACGTATCAATAACTCCTTAACTAAAGCATATTTTATAATAAAATATCTAATAATATAAGATACCTTTAATTTATAGTAAATATTCATCTCAAATACAGGCATATCATATAAATAAAATGATTCATTAATAAGTTGAAATATTGAAATTAAAAGGACAAAGAGATGGCTAAACTTAGAAAAGAGATGCTGGAACAGTCCAAACTGGAATACTGTTTAGTAATTGGGTCATATCTGAAGTTGTAGATCTCGAATTTATGTCTATTTTATATGGATAGAAAGTTAAGACATGGGCCTACAACTTTCATGGGAATCCAAGATTTAAAAAGGTTGTTTTCAAGTTCAAATTGTAGCAACAACGAAGAAGTCTGAATCTATCATGCATTCCAAACACTTTTCAGTATTCAGCCTATATCTTGAGTTCTAGAAGTCTAAATGACCTTAATTTTTTTCCCTGGAAAGCTGAGATAATTTCCTATAATTTTTATGTGGAGGTCTGGTTCAAATTCTGACGTTATCGATGATGTTTTGGGTAGACAAGAAGATAAGAATTGTCACCAAGTCAAGAGTTGGCCACCCACTCATCAATTAATCATCAAATCAATAGTTTTTAATTTTGACCAGTAAAAGAAGGCATTTGTCATGCATTTATGCATCTTGGTTTCCAGATCAAGATCATGTTCTTGCTTTCTCTCTTTGTATTTTTGTAATGCTTAAGTTTTGCTTTCATTAATATCTTGTGTATGCCTTTCATTTCCTTTTCTTTACTTAGTTAACTTTTATTTTATTTATGTTCATATCTTGTTTATTTATGTTTCTCTTTTTCATTATGTTTAGCTAAGTTTATTATGTCAATGTGAAAAGGTTACACTAATGGTGTAAAAATAAGTATAGAGTAAACTTAACATGTACTTTAATGTTTGATATTAACATGTTTTGTATTTGTTATCTTGTTCACTCTTAATACTTTACTTGTTAAATGATTAATCTAGATTTATGTTATATAACACTTGGTATAACAAATACTTAGCACTTTCATAGTTCAACCGTATGGTTTAACCTATACTTGTGTTATGAAAGGAACTTGATTTGTTGTTAATATAAGTTATAATTATAAATATCTGACAATATTTATAAGTATTAACATTATTCGAATAAGATAACTAATGTAATCACGTTAACAATTCATAATCCAATTGAAATCTCCTTTGTGTGTGGTTTTCAGTTGAATAATAAGAATTTATACTATATTTGTTTAAAATATTATTAATGGATCCACTAACCTTGATATTTGTTGTTATTATTGTTTAATCCTTACATTGATCTTCCATCTCAAAATTTTCATTAACTTCTTTTTCTATTACTATTACTATTACTATTACTATTATTGTTATTTATAATTTATATAATTAACCTTTTTGTGGTTCGATCCCTGTTTTATTGGGTTATTTATTATTTTGACACTTCTACACTTGAGTGAAGATATCAATCTTTTGATTGTGTTATTTATGAATATAAGCCATTATTTTTACGGTTTGTTTTCTTTGATCTTATAAAAAGTGCAAAGGATTAACTAGATCACCCTTAATAGCTGAAGCAACAGAAAACTCGACTTATTTTTTGAGTTTTGATTCCTCAATTTTTTTACACCTTAAAAATGCTGCTTCCTCCTCAAAGCCGGCCTAAATCTCTACCTCGGTGAACAATATAGAATTTGATCATGATAGTTCAGCTTTGGTAAATGATGCCTGCTATTATTTACCACCTTACTTGTTTTATGCTGATTATTGTTAAGTTCAAGAAGAAGGTTTTATTTATAATTGGTGATTGAAAAGGCTAGAAGTTGGAAGAGGCCACTTTGAACTGACAAGTAAGCCTCCTTGTATGTCAAATGATCCTTATTTGTGTCAATTGACTTTTATTAGGGAGAATTAATCTCTTAGTTGTAGAAGCAAGATTTAAAATCCACTCATGGCAGTGGTTTTGTTTCTTAATATTGGAACACAAATTGCTGATGGAGTTAGCTCAGTATTCACTCATCTTCTTTGTGAATAATTTTGCTAGCTTTTCCAATGATTTATTCTTATTGTTTTTATTACTTATTTGAGGTATTTTATCAAATAGTCTAGACCTTATGGATTTATCCTTATTGACAATAGGAATAGTACAGATGCAGAAAAGGATAGGATACTTATTGCAAGCAGCCAGCGAGCTCATCCAGTTAAACCGTTGAATCCTTGAAATACCACTGGTTTGTGGTTGATTTGTGATTTGTCAGCCTCTCCACCTGAATTCCATGTTTATGAATTTATTACATTCTCCTTACAGATTTGTGCTACATAGCCAATGTTTGAGCAGCTGAAGTTCCAGGAGAAATCTGTCGATATCAATCATGCAACGAAGTCATGAAGGCTCCCTCAGTTCCAGACCATCCCATCGCTTAATTTTCAATGTTGGGCACAGTGGGGAAGGGCATGGGTCAAGCATCTCGGAATTGGTTTAGCTTTCAACGGTGGGAGATGGTCCCTCCACGCTGTAACATTTTTGGTTTAGTGTACAATCATTAAATGCAACTGAACCATCTACGTAAATAATTAAGAACAAGTGATTTTTGATTGAAAACCTATGTAATGTCAAAACTCAATATAGTATGCTGTGTTATAAAATTAGAGTTTGTAAACAAGTTCTTAAGACAATAAAAGAATCATGTCTTTATAAAGTTCAAATCAAATTTGTTGTGCCCGCATAGGTTGCAAGAAATCAACGGAGCTGTTATTAATCAACTGATTTGATCCCTGTAATCAGATGAAGTAATCAAACAATTGATGCCATCCTTCACTGTTTCGTGAATAATTTTTTTTTTATCATGTCCTTAATTGGATTGTCAAATCATAAATGCAATGGATAATTGAGATTGGTCATGTAAAGCAGCAAGCTTCTTATCTGGGGTTCAAATAAAATAAAATAACGAAAAAAAGGTGCTTATCTTTGTCTACTGTCCTTCCTATTTTAGATCATAAAGTGTTCTGTTTCCAGTAGCTGTGGCTTTTGCATGTTTGTCCCATGTCGTACCCTACTTGATTCTTGGACTGTCCATGCATATATTCATTGGAATTGGCTAAAAGGGAGGCATCTCTGCTATCAAGTATGACATTTATCCAGGTTACTCGAGTTGAGTTGGACAAATCTTAGATCCATTATAAATTTATATAATTATTAATTTTAGGACTTATATAATTAGAAGACGCGCAACTGGTCCAAGCATGTTAATAAAAAAAAAAAGTATGACATTGACCCCCCAATGTGGTGCATCAAACCGTTTATTTATCCATTAAATGACACTCCGATCCATTTGCTAATCTCAAGGATGATTTTCTGGGTCCAAGTGAAACAAGTCTGATTAGCGTCTTACACTTTTGATTCCCTCCTTTTTGTTTCCTTTTACCTTTACGTTGTTTTTTGTATATATTAGCATATAGCAGTGGAGAAGAAAAGGAGAAGGAAACTAGCATTAGCAAAACTGAAGACTGAAGAGGGGAAAGGGAGGAAGAAAATATGGTAGATGAAAAGAGGGTGGTGTTAAGTGGCTGCATCAAGACTAGCAGGGGGCCTTGGAGAGTACATAGAGCTACAAAAGATGGCTGCATTGTCACCAAACTTCGCTATCCTTCTGATAGGGAACGGCAAACGAACCAGCAGAGGGAGCGTCGAAGGCGAGCAGTGGCTAAGAAAATTTTTGAAGGTCTTCGAAAGCATGGAAACTACAAGCTTCCGAAACATGCAGACAGCAATGACCTGCTCAGGGCTCTCTGTGAGGAAGCAGGATGGCACGTTGAGGAGGATGGCACCATTTGTAGGATGGTGAACCCTTTCTTTCATACCTATAATCTAATCAATCTGAACTGCTTAGGAAATTCTTCCAGTTTATATATTTTTGTTTCGGTAAAGATGCTATTTGTTGCTGCTGAGTTTCTTGTTTCGTCAAATACCGCTGCTTTCCTGTTTTCCCTTTTCAAGCAATGTCTGTTTCTTTTACTTGGTTCCTGAGCTTCTTCTCCTTGAACTGCTTTGATTTCATTAAATGTCATGCTCTGTTCCTTTCCTGCTTCTATGTTGATTTAGTTTTCCCAGGCCACAAAATTTTCTGAATCTTATTCTGTGCTTGTCGAGTGCATTTTCTTGTCTATGGTAATCTTTTGTTTTTCTAGTTTAGCTTTGGTTTACTTGTTTTTTATTTGCTGTGTTCCTCAAGTGCTAAAGGAGCAGATCTTCTCTAATCTTTAGTTCTGATATGTTTTTGCTTTAGTGCATTTTCTTCATTCCATTTCTTCTTTTGGACAGGTTCTTCATAACCCTTATCATGAAGCTAATGTTGCAAGCTCCTATGATGCCCCGCCAGAAGATCACAATTACTGCACCTGCAACAATCATTTGGATTCAGAATATGGAGCATTTCCACTGAGCACCAACTCACCAATTCAAGAGTGCCATGGAGGAAATGATGTCAACCTCACCCTTTCACTCTAGCTTTCAGTTTCATTTTGAGAAAGAAAAGACAGTAGGAACTAAGAAAATCAAGACGGTTTTTGGATTTGGGTAAGACTGGGATGGGATGGTACAGCTCAGCTTCTCATGTAGCCTGCTCGCATAAAAACCAATATAGAGGCCACAAAAGAAAGGAATAGCGTATGGTACTTGTACAAACATCAAATGTGTAAACAGTTCTAGAATTATCAATAGGATGTTCTAATTTGCCTATCCTATGAAGGCAGGCAGCTCCGGTGCCAATTTTGTTGAACTGATAGACATGATCATCCTTTGAATGAAATGCGCTTCTTGTGCTATCAACTTCTGCGCGCAAGAAGCTCCATATTCTTAGATGCTGTTATTGAATAATGACGTTGGGCACCCCTGTATCAAATGTGTTGGGTGCTTTTAGCTTTTAACTTCGGATTGAAGGCAGCTTTATATTCTTGGGCATGCAATTCCTCCTGCATAAACTTGACCATCCCATCCTTTATTCAAAAAGTACATTTACCTTGGAAAGTTACAAATTGTGCTTTCAGAAACGATCTACGAAATTTATGCAGAAAATCCAAAAGAAATTAGGATTATATGATCTAAATAATGGGATTACATCCATCAAAACTTATCTTTAATCATGTGAGCTAAGCTGATTAACCTTTATCTAAACTTACAAAATATGTAAGCTTTTCTTTTCATGAATGACGTCCTTGGCAAGCATTTTTGCAATTTCCTTTCCAAAATACATATCGCTACAGTGATTCTTTCCCAATTGCTACAGAAAATGACTTGCAATGTGGACAGGTACATTTGCTTTTACAACAAATGGAATAGCAATTCGTTCCAGACATCAGGCACACCAGGCAAGCACCAATGTATACAATCAGAGTAAGATTTTGGGTTCGATAACTGTTTAGGGCTCAATGTCTCCCAGAATTTTCGATAGATTGAAGGGTGGCCATCTTTACGATACTCTGAAAGCTGTGTAATATTGAGAACTGAAACCTTTGATCCCAATCTGCCAAGAACCTTTTCCACCATGCGCATTGTAGGCATATCAGAACCACTTCCCCAGTACCCCTCCCAATCAATTGGCATCTTCTCACTATAGCAATTTCCATTACTTCCAGGTTCCCATTCACGGCTCCTGAAATATGCAAATAGTTTAACATGAACATGAGAGGTGGATTCTCAAATTTGCCAAGGGTGACAAGCTACTATAACCTAGACCAGGTGCATATGCTAGAAGCTTGACAATCTTAAATCGCAAAAAAGTAAGGCTTGCATCTTTTTCTTTCAAACAAGTTTTGAGATTTTGCTAATCTATTACATGTATACCTGCATGGATGTAAGAGACTAATTGCAAAGGCAGCTTAAAAGCCTCTTTCTATGACATTGAAATGCACCAAATATGGCACTAGCTAAACTTCTTGGACCCTCTTTTAAATTTGTTACTATGGTTCATGACCCCCGTAACAAGAGCGTCAATGGATGTCTGAATGTCAATAATACAAGAAAAATGAGGTGGAGCTCAGGCAAAAAGGTGTGCCCAGTGTTATGTTGCTTAATGCTGGTCATTAAAGTAAAATTGAAACAAAATTGGATACTCAGATAACAGCTGGTTAAAAAATTACTTTTTAAATTGAGGTTACTATATATATATTGATGGTTTTGAATTTAAATATTATAGATTTAACTATTGTTATTACATCATGAAATAAATAATACTTTATATTAAATATTTTTTATTATTTAATTAAACTATTTACAATTCCATCAAGTATAAAATATATCCGACAAGGACTACAATTTCCTTGGATTTCTTAAGTGCGCAACAATATCAAGTAAAATATAATCAAGAATAAAATGTGAATCGCGATCAAATTTTGCAAATGCTACGTCATCAATAAAACATAATTAAAAATAAAAAATTTAATTTAATTTTTTTTTCTGAGTCAGACTCAGTTCAATGCATTTAATTTTGGACTGAATCTGGTCTAGACGGAATCATGCACTACTTTTCACGTGAATTCACTCTCCACTGTTCACTTAAGTGGAATAATTTTTTTCCAGCTAATGCTCGTGCTCATTTTCTTTTTGTCGTTATGAGAAATATAATACATTTCACACAACCCAAAACACTCCTATCTCATGTTGCACAGCCATTTCTCCTGCCCTCTGCACAGTCAACTTCCCTTTTACCACCACCCAGGCCACCACCAATAACCGTCCTTCTCTCTCTCGCCAGCAGCGTTGGCCAATGCCTTCAACACCACACTCCATCCCCACTATCGACCATCATTAAACCCTCCCATCAAACCAACCAGTACGGGAGTAACTCCACTTTATAGGTGTTCAGTGGAGAGATTCACTCTCCACTGAATGTTGTCTGCAGGTTTGCGGAAAGCAGCTCGAAACCTGCATTTTTGTGTAAATATATATGGGTCCCCATACACAGTAAATTGTGTCGGTTGTGTATGCGTTTGAAACAGCATTCAGCTGCTTTCCACAAACCTGCGTTTTTGTGTAAATTTATGTGGGTCCCTCATACACAATAAATTGTGTTTTGGGGGAACCGGACAGGTTGCGTCTGCGTTTAGCTTCAAACACAAACACAACCTCTTAAACAAACAGGCAAGAAAAAGGTGGCAGGCAAAGACAGTAGAACATGGGCAAGGGATGACAAGCTTATAGCGAACAATCTCATAGTCCATGCTCCGATCACCAGTTTACAAATGAAAACCAAACTGAAGTATTAACAGTTTACATTTGAGTCAGCGGACAATCCTTAATTAAAATGATTCACATAACTCTAAACTTCATTCCAAATTCAAGTCACTAACAAAGGACGGTTAGAATTCTCCTAGAGTTGGTGAATAACTATATGGCATTTGTGTAGTCAGCTCTGTGGTTTGAATACCGAGAACTATATGCAGAAAGAACTCACAGTCATAGAGTCAGAATTAAGTTCACAGGCAATGGATCATACTCACCAGAGATGTGTTGGAGACATGGTAACAAAGAAGACTCGTTTCTTCTGGGGATCAACTTTAGAAGCCACCCAGTCAGCCCAGGCCCCCATAGCCAACTCCATGGCTCCTAACCCGTCTAATTCTTCACAAGCTCCATTCTCTTCAGCACTCCATCTGCAAATGTCACAAAGCTTGATTATTGCACCAATTCATAGCCAATTATATAACTGCATTACAACTCATGTCTTCTAAACTGATGAAACCTCAATGGTGCATTACTCACAAAAGCTTAACAGGGCCTTGTCTCCACCACAAGTAAGAGTTGAAAACTAGTATGTCTGCATGCTCCCACTTTGATGAATGCTTTAGAACTGAATCTGGGCGCATTATCCGTTCATCCAATCTGTGATTTACTGGGTCATCAGAATTAGAATCAACAAGAAGAGGGGCCCAGAGAAATTCGATAGTGGCATTGTATTCCTGCAAACAAACACAAATCAATGAGGAATACCTTTCAAATTTTCCTGCATCGTATGAACATATCATAACAAAACTGTAGAACTAAACTTCACCAAACTTTTTCTTCTATTGCACATTAAGATTACTTTAAACTCGATGCAAGGTTTGTGCTTACCTCTGCCCTGAAAATGGTAAGAGCGGCATTTGGTGACATGGATCTCTTATCTGCTGGAATTACTGACTGTAACAAACACACCATTGATATCCACTGCCCTCTATTTAGCGAATCCCCCACAAACATTAGTCTCTTCCCTCTCAACTTCTCCCACATTTCGGTCACATTCCATCTATAACACCAAATGAAAACAACAATGAGAACTAATCAAATCTCATTTAACATAAAACACCCAAAATTAACAGGTTTGCATATCATGTTCAATAAACAGAATGGTTCGGCTCAACAAAAACTACTTTAAATAAGAGCATTCTTTCACCAAGACAGGCAAAGTTAAGAAACCGGATTTAGATTCCAGGCGTCAGCTGATGGGGCGAATTTAGAAGGTTCTTTTTACTTCTCTTTACTTCAACTTTACAGAATCTTCAATTCTAGGCTTACTAAGACTTTGATTTCACCTATCTAAACTACATGGGATTCCAACTTCAACACCTAATAAGAAGGCTACAGGCAATAAGCAAATCTAAAACTCGAGGGTCTTCATTCTCATGCTTCAAAGCACATCCAACTACACCCTAAAAACAAAATACAATACACATACTTGAAAATGAACTAAAATAGGCAAGTACCTCTTCAAGTTGCAATCATGAGGTTGCCACCTCCAATGCTGATACCCCAAATCAGACCTTCCATGCTTATGACACGCCAATTGATCAGACATGTAAGGACAATCAGACTCATTGTAAAGCGGATATGACTCACTATCAAATACCCATTTGCCTGCAAAAACATCACAACTTTCCAAGCTCTTTCTCCTCCCCCTTTCCACTTTCGAGCCACCCCATCCGATCCTCTTGCCACTGTACTCACTAGTTGAGTTACATCTACTAAACCTATCCAAAAGCACTAAGAAAACAAAACCCAAAACAGCAAACCGGTAAAAGATCAAAACTTTACACAGTTCTTACATTCAAGAAAGTGAAAAACACAAAAAGATTGAACCTTTGAAACATATTACATACCAGGTGCAAGATTTGAGTGGCTACCAAGATTTGGCTTAACGTAAGTTACTGTGGCGGCATGTTGTTGGTCAGGACCTTGGTTTGATGGGCCTTCTTCGTGGACCCGCTGAATGCTACTTTCATTGTAAAGAATTGAGCAAACAATAATACCAAGAAAAATAAATGCTACTAAAGGAAAATGGGATTTTTTTCTATGCCATCTCTGCATCATTTCAGTCAACAGATTTGATTTTCAGTAAAACAAAACTCTTGAGCTTTTGTCCTGAGACTACAAAGATATTGCAAGAGAGAGTGAGGGGACTCTGATATGGCGCTGCAGCTATTACTGAGAGATTATGGATGGTTGTGATTAAGTGGGGCATTGACTCTTCTAGGCTTACTTAGATTGTGGCCAGCTGTGATTTTGGAGGAATGGACTGATCTTGGTCCCACAGTTGCATGATGTGTGGTCGTTACGGTGCCATTGCAAATAAGACTGGTGCTTGTGAGTAGCACCGTTATTTTCGGAGGTCTGCCTCTTGATTCTTGACGTTTGTCTCTTTCATTTTTTAACAACGAAGAGGGTTTTTTTAAAAAAAAAAATAAATAAAAGATATCATCTTATCTTTGACAAGGGCTGAAAAGGATGACGGACAAACACCATGATTTGTGGAAAGGAAATCTCGCTAATTAAATAAAACATTGTTTTCAGACTCGGTCGGTTCAAAATCTAAGTTTTGGATTTTGACGGAATTATCAGATTTTAATCAGGTTACCTGTATTAATTTTTTATTTTAATAAAAAAATTAACAGATTATAGTAGAATTTTTTACCGGATCATCCCACCAAATCAATTAAATCATAGGTCATGTTGAGTTTTTTTATTTTTTATTTTTTTTCAATCCCGTTTAATTCCAACACATCATCAGCCAGATATTGAATCAACCCGCCAGAACATGTTTTACAACTATATTTGAAGATAGCAGTATTTTAATTATTAGGTGGAAGATGTTATTTCTTTTTATTATAGTAATGCTACAACATGAGATCTATTACCGACTCTTATGATTTTTTTAAACTTGAATGTAAGAAGGCTGAGATTTTCTCATGTTTTTAAAGAAAATGTGTTAGGAATTATAAAATTGTAATTTTATATATTGAATTTTAATTAGAATTTCTTAGACTTTATGATTTTTTAGTTTAATCTCTTAATTTTTTATAACATTTGGATTTTCTAGTGTCTTTTAATATTTTTATTCCTTTTTTTCTATAAATTAATTATTTGTCTTGTATTTTCTGTATTTAAAAACATATTAAATTTTCTTTTAAAATTTTATTCTAAATATATATATTTACTTATTCTTTATTTTTTTAACAATAAGTGAATTATAAATTTTCACCATTTTTGGGAGTGGGAAAGTTTTTACTTTTTGATGTTTTTTAAAAATATAATCTATTTAAAAAATATCAAATTAATATATTTTTTTTATTATTTTAATGTGCTATTATCAATAAAAAAAATTTAAAAATTAATATATTTTCAAGTGAAAAAATATTTTTAAAAAGAACCCTAAATTATAATACCAAACAAGTATAATTTAGATTTAAATGATTGAAAAAAAAAAGGAGTGGATAGTTAAGCTATTTTTATTTTGATCATATATTAAATGGTGTCTATGTAATTTAAAATTAATAATTTACATTTAATGAATATTATATATAAAACACAAAATAACCTCTAATAAAGATATAATAAATGAACATACCAACTGCATATAGATTTATTCATTAATCATTAATGTGGCCATCACCATGTATTTATTGATTGCCATATTCATAGATAATTTGTTGATCTCCATATGATTCTAAATGTTACAAATGTTTAATCGTTTTCCTAATTAAAACCTTTTCCATAAATCTCGATTAATTTAAATCAGTTTTTCTTAATTAAAAAATTTATGTTAAAGCTTATAAAGAATGAAAAGTAATGTAAATCTCATTAGAATTGCATCATATAAAAGGAAAAATTAATTCTATCATCATATAGTTTGATTGAAATTAAATTTATATACTGATTTTTTAAAAATTATAATTTGCATCCTAAATTCTATACAAACTCTAACACTTAACATTTTCATCATAAAAAATCATATAATTATTTACATATTTACTATTATTTTTTATTTAATGACTAATATATTTTTATATTAAATATTATATTTTTCATTACATTTAAAAAAAACACAAATCGCATTCATCCTTTTTTCTCATCTAAGCAATCCAAACCCAACAACAAACACTAAAATAACCAATATGGTAAAAATAGGAATAACAACATTTGATTTAGAAGCAATTTGGAATTGCATTCTAACCAATGTTTTGAAAATAAATATTTTTTATATTTTTAAATTATTTTGATATATTAATATTAAAAATAATTTTTAAAAATAAAAAAATATTATTTCAACGTATTTTAAAAAACATTAAAAAAAAACACTCCAAGCACTCTCCTAAACCAAACATAAATGTGAAACCGCCTGCTAACACATGAAAATCCAGGGAACAACTTGAATTTCTAGTGTTCAAATGGTGTCAAAATCCATAATTAAAACATACATTTTAACGAAGATCTAGATCCACTAGCCCACCTCTCCTCCTTCCACAGGCACTAAACCCAAAAAAAGGGGCAACCAAAAGTGTGGTGAAAATTGGATCCAACCCCTTCATAGTGCAAGAAATCCCTTCGAAGAGTACCCAGTTAAGTGTTTTGTATCGCAAAGTGAAAAATATGTACGCCTTGAGATAAAATATTTACTCATAGAATCTAAACCATCTTGTTTTTTTTTTAAGTATATTTGGAGTGTAATTATAGTTATTTTTTAAAATATTTTTGAAATATATCAAAATGTTTTTTTTATTTTTAAAATCAGCGTATTAAAAACATAAAAAAATATTTTTAACAAAAAAAAAAATTAAACGGTGTCTTAGCTTCTGTTTGGATTATGTTCAATAGGTAAATTTAATTTTTTTTATCTTTTTAAATTGTTTTGATGTATTAATACTAAAATGATTTTTTAAAATAAAAAATATTATTTTAATATATTAAAAAAATACTTTTTGAAAACCAATTAATATTATATTTTCAATCATCAATTAACAATGGAGGGAAGGTGGAGGATGCCAGCCTTGTCCTTGTCTTTCTTTGATGTAAGGAGTGTTTGATGGAATTTAGATAAACAATCCAAACTCTTAATTAAGTCTTTTTTTTTTTCTCTTAAAAATATTAAAATAATATTTTTTTTATTTTTTTTAAATTATTTTTGACAAGTGCATTAAAATAATCTGAAAATATCAAAAAATATTAATTTAAAATAAATAAATAAATTATTTTCATTAAAAATTATTTTTGAAACATAAAAAATAAAAATAAATAGTATTAAAAATAAAGACTCTCTTAATGTGTAATTTTTTGTTTATAATATACCAGGGGCTTGGGCCGGAGTCAGCTCGCTTGGAAGCACCAGGCTGAATGAGATCGCAGACCATATGGATAGCAAGAGGAGGCGTGCTAGAAAAGCTGCTCCTGCAGTCATTACCTTCGTCACTCCATTTAAACTTTTTTTTTCCTTTTGTTTTTTGCCCTCTTGCCATCAACAGAGAAAATCTTCAATTTTAGGGTTTTTCTCTCATGAGAGAAAATAAATCCATCATCCAACCATAAGCTTCTATGTAATAATATTAAAAAAACCTTCGCAATCCATTTAATAAAATAAAAACCCAAGAAAAAAATAGGATTTGTTTTTCAAAAAATTTGGTTTTTCATGGTCAATTTAGATTTTTTATTTTGAAAAGATTAAAAATATTGACCCAATAATTTTTAGATACTCAAAAATCTTATGTTTAATTTGGGGATTTGTGTTTAGAAAGAGAAAAAAAAAAGGACATAGAGAATAGAGAAATCACCATTTTAGAAAAAAAATTAGGTGTGTTGTTTAGTTGATTTTTCAATTAATATATATAAAGATAGTTTGATTATTTTGTTAGATTTAGAATTTTTATTGGCTCAAAATATAAATTTTAAATTTTCAAAACTCAACTAATAATATAATAATTTGATCAAATATTAGGCGTAATTTTTCCCATATTAAAAGAACACAAATTTATTGGTATTTTTACAATGTAAAAGAAGTTTGACTTTATTGATGACTAGCTCTCGTAAAAGAGAGGGAGAAATAACAATTTATTAATCAACTATAATTTTAAGAATAGATAATTACATATTTGATAATAAAATAAAATAGATAAGCTTTTCACTTTTAATGCATTCAAAAAGAATATTATAATTTTACTATAAAAAATATATAGATTGGTATTGATGCAATGACTGATATTATAATTTTATTTATCATTATTATAATACCTGCGATGGTTGTTATTTTTTTACAAATTAATCATGACTATTTTTTTTAGATGATTTAAAAAGCGCAATAGAATGTAAATTAATCTTTATTTTAAAAAAAAATATGTTTGTTTATGAGATAGTAATGCAACGCTGATTAATACTTAAAAGTCCATTTTTATCAAGGTTTTATATCATTATTTTGCACTTGAAGTATCAATAACTCCTTAACTAAAACATGTTTTATAATAACATATTTAATAATATAAGATACCTTTAATTT